GATCATAAATTATAAAATATAAACCTTTTGTCCAGTAACTCTGTCAATTTTATACCAAAACATATCCAGTAAGTTAATATAAATAATAAACAAACCTAAAACTATAAAACCCAGTAAAAATATGTTTTCTGACACCCAAAAAAGTTGACTTCGCAAATATTTATGTTCTGTTGAGTTACTGAAAGACTTTTATAAGCTTTATTCTTGAAAACCGACAGTCTTGATGATCTACCTACCTCAATCAGACCGTTAATCCCATATACCCCAGTTTAGGGCTGTCTGAACGGTATTCAAAAATCACTCGCCCCCAGGCAGAATTTCTACGACTCGCCACCATTGAAATTCCCTCCACCACCTCCTCCATTACCATCGCCCCACCGGCAACTTCAGTTTCACTCAGCAGCAGCCAAAGTTTAGTTTTGGCCAGGCCAACAAAAGCGCGTCTGCGAAAAAAAAAGCTAAACAACAACAAAAAAGTTAAAGCGAAGAAGTTGAAGAGGAACCGAACGGGGGAGCTGCAAAAAAAAAAATAAAGACGAAAAAACGTTGAGCAGTTTGAAGTGTACGTGAAATTTGCATAAATGCGAAATCAACGCGTTCACTACTTGGCGCTGCCCTCCGTTTCGATTCGCCCCAAAAACCTCCTCCGCTCCCAGAGGAACTGCAAAGCACTTTGCCACACATATGGATATGGGGATGTGGCAGCATGGCAGCATGGCATTTGCATGGCTTGTTATTCCCCGACAGACGACGGGTCTGTTGACTGCGTTTTTCCACTCCTAATTTCAGCCAACTTCTGCCAGTTAGTGGGTGAATATGTCGCTCCGGCTTCACTTTTGTTTGGCCCAAAGAGCCAGCACATCAGGAGCAGCAGAGGCAGAAGCAGAAGCACCAGCAAAACCAACAAGATCTTTCAAGTAGTTTTCTTGGGCCTCTTGGACCACTTGACAGCCGAAATGGGGAAAAATGGAAATGGGATAAAATGGGATATGGGAAATGGAAAAGCTGTTGCTGCCTCACTCGAGTGGCTTTTTAATGAGCTGTTCCCTTATGCAGTTTATTAATGTGTTGAAATGGCCATGGCCATCTAGCCAAATGCACAATGTTTGCCCAATACCCGATTTGTTTAGAGTCTGCAGCACGTAATTAGTTGGCTCATTACAGATTGAAGCTGTTCCGTTTGATAAACAGATATTCCAGAATAAACATTAGACCAGACCAGACTGACTCCTCTATGTTTCGAAAGCGATTCTAATTTCGATTGGGATGTACACCGAAGGGAAAATAGTAAAGAAATTAAAGCTACAGATAAATATTTATGGTATTGGAGAGATTTTAGTTGCGTTTCTGGAATGCGAAAAGAAAATTATCTATGATTACCTAAGGCTTCTCATTTTCTGAGTATCATTAAAAAAGGTGATTTGGGATTGAGATGGCCTTTGTTTTCCTTTAACAACATTCTGTTTTTATAATCATTTTGCTTATATTTTGAAAAAATGTGATAGTTAAATGACTTCTTAAGATTTTATCTGAAAATCATTCAAGTTATCTGAACTACTTTATCTTTACCATCTTAACTATCAAATTAAGATAGTAGTTTTCTTAAAGTGTACTGTAAAGCAGCGTGCGAAATGGCCAAATCGAATTGTCGACCCCAAAAACCGCCTTCTCCTCTACTTCCCGTTCCCTTTTTTTGCCCCTGACTATGTATACCCACCATGACATCATCGGTGGCAAGCAGGCAGGCAGGCAGCAAGCCAGCATCATCATCATCATCATTGCCATCGACTTTGACTGCTGATGGTTCCAGTTTGGTTTCGGTTTCCACTTTTTGTACCCCCTCCGCCTCTTTTGTCTGTTTTCTACTCTATTCTGTTCCCACTGTTATTATTCTGGCTTTTATGGCGGGGGCCAAACTGCTAATGATGCTGTGTGCCCTGAAATCAATTTGATTCCTGCTCACTTGCTGCACGCCGCTGGTAATGGCAACTCATGAGCTGGCTTGCGATTTCCATTATGGTGCTCTTTCAGTGACAGGAAATCGGCTTACAAAATTCACTCACCAAGAACTTTTATAAATTTTCGGATATTTTACAGTTTTTGCATACCAAAAACATGCCACGCCCTCGGCTCTGCTCGTTCCGCAAAAATGTTGGCAATAAATCTTTGGAATTACCTCATGCAAATTGATTTGTTGCTCTCACCCCGAATCAAATGCAAACTGCATTTCAGGGGGGAGGAAAGGAGGTGTACGAAAAGGGGTGACTAACGGGGCATTGAAAAGTTGCAAGTGCATGGGGGGGGTCGCAACCATCAGTGGCACATAAATAAATTGTAATTTGCCAATTGTGTGTGTAAAAGTTATTAGCGATAACTCGTTTTATGACACTGCTGCTGCTGCCCCAGCACAACGTGCGATGTTTCACTGTACCCGGAAACGGACTACGCCGCTACGTGTTCCCCTTGGCTTTTCTGTTTCTCTCCCTCCTTTCCAGTCCAAAACCTCTCCATGATCCAGTGGCATTTGGTTATTAGTCATAAAGCTGCAATGGGATTGCCAACTGGACAACTTTGTTAATGATACATGGTTGACCAAGTTTGGATTTGTTGCCGCTCGTTGTTGTTGTTGCTGCTGTTGTTGTTTGTGCGGCGTCAAGTTGATAAGTTGCTGGAGCAACTTGAATGTTTGAGGATCAAATAATTTGTTTGCAAATTGCTTGCATATGGAAAGTTTGCGCCGCAGTTTGCCCAAGGCCGACTTAAAGTCGGAAAAGTGGGTCAGGCCCACACTCTGACGGGTTGAATGCGGAAAAGGGTTTTAAGATGAGAAGCAGAAGGAGTAGTAGCCTAATCCTGGGTCAAACAAATTTCACCATTTATTAAGTAGCTGCCTCTCTTGTCGTCACTCCAAGAGAAAAGGGTTTCTAAAAGCTGAGATGGAAGTTTGTCAAACAGATAAGTTAAAGTAAAGAAAGAGAAATTGAAAAGGTCTTTTGGAGTTAATCAATATTTTGGGATTAATATTTAATTATAAAGAGGTAAGATTGAGTAATTGAAAAATTAAATCTTTTAATTCTGAAAATTATCTAATCCAAGTGAAGTTACACACCCACACTTTTAACTCGCAGTGTGCTAAATCGTCGATGACATTTTGTCAGCCACAGAGCATCATCGTGGCAAGAGCATTTGAGCTAGTAATTAGCCAGGACTTCAAACGACTCCTTTAGACTCAGAACTCCCATTTTCCCCCTTTCACTCTTTCCTTCCCCTCAGAACTGAAGAGACGCGTTCGTGTTTGCGTTTTCGTGTTGTTGCGCTTTTAGCCTCTTTCAGTCTGGCACTTTGAATCCGTGGAAGAGTTTGCCCCACCTCCGCCACCGATCCACTCCGCATTTATTTAATATTTTAATTAAATTATTCCCGTGCATGTGCAGTTGGTTTGCCGGGGCGTCTAATGGCCCAACTTCATGGCGTACAAAGTATTTACATGCAAATGCCGTCAACGTGTTACGGCCTGTGCTCTTGGCTCTTGCCAGGAATTCGAGCCGGAAACCTGGAACCTGGACTCGAGATGGAGCCATTACCACCCGCACTTAACGTTAATTAAACTGCTGTGTGTGCTAAAATGTCTCTTTTCCATATGTGTATGAGTGTGTGTGTGTGCGGATATCCCAGGAACCCTTACACTGCCCCCTGGAATCCGCCCATCTCCACCGGCAGCTGCTGTCGTTTTAATAGCTTAATGTAGTTACTTCCACTTTGAGTGTCTTCTGTGGAAAGAGAGGGGCAGATGGGGAGCGAGCGAGACCGTAGAACACAGGGCAAATGTGTCTTTGCTAATAAAAAACACAACACTCAGCAAAATTGTTATGCAGCAAACTAAATCAACAGACACCCATGTTCCGCCCACTTTTTCATTTTCCCCTGACCCCTTTTCCATTGCTATATCTCCCTTCGTCTCCCTCCCCCCTTTCGACGCACGTACAAATTACAAAGCTATGACGGGAAAAAAGTGCGGCAGGACATGGAGCAGGACAGCATGAAAAAGGGGGAGAATGGGAGATAGGCAAGGGGTTGAGCAAGGACGTAAAGAAAGACGGGAACCCGTGTAAGCCACACTTACAACACGGCTCCATGTGCCGTTTGGGGTGCGCTTACTTACAGCACTCACTGTGGCCAGGACGAGGAATGCAGCGGGTCTTTCGCAGTCCTAGTCCTATTCCAAGTCCCCGTTTCCGTGGTGTGAGTTTCTGTGTGTGTGCAAAAAAAAGGCGATATCTAACAAAGTTTAACTCGTTTTATGTCCAACACCCTGTATAGGGACTGGAAAGATGGGGCATGATAGGATGCTTCAAAAGAGAGGGGAAAGCTGAAACCACTTTTAATTCAAATTGACACGACACCAGCCTTTAAATTTAGAAAATGTGATATAAATATGACCAAAGAATGATATAACAATGAATCAGATATAAAATATCCCAAACTCTGTAATCTTTCATACCTCTTCTTGCTTTTTGAAACCCCCAGGATATCACCCGGGTCGATCCTACCCTTGAACCACTTTCCTGGCTGCCTGCTGCATTCAGTCAGCCGAATATGTTGGCTCAGTTTGGCACACAAAACGACGCAGCAGCAGCTTTTCCGCATGCAGCTGCATCTGGCAACCGGTCCGTGGGTGTGGGGGAGTAAAGTGGGGCAGAACTTCTCTCTGTTTGGGGTGGCCTATGATTCGGGCACGGATATGTGATGGCAGGAGCAGTCTGACTGCTGGCAGGATTAGCCTGGACATGCCTGAATAATGTCTTTATTAGTGGCCAAAAAGGAGCAATTCGCAGCAGTCATATGTCTGCGTTGTTTTTTCGGTTTCGTTGGAGGGGGGGTTGGTTTTGATTTCATTAATTAGTCGGCTACGTGATATCAAGTATACGCCATGTTATCATGATTATTACTTACGATTGTTTCTCTGTCTCTCTCTCTCTCTCTCTTGTTTCGCCCCACAGTCAGCGCTAAAAGAAGATGGCCCAACCACAGCTGCTGCAAGTCAAATTGTCACGTTTCGATGCCCAACCCTGGGGATTCCGCCTTCAGGGAGGCACGGACTTTGCCCAGCCCCTGCTAGTGCAAAAGGTAAGTTTTCATATATATTTTTTTTCATTTCCCAACAATACCAAACATGTGGGAGAAAATCTGAAACAATTCGCTTATCGGGCGATTGACAAATGGAATTTGTGTGTTTCGGAAACACTCTCCGAAAAATCAAATTAAATTTACGCTGGCAACAAAGGCGAAAAAAACGAATATTAGTTGAGCAGTTAATTTATTTATGTATTTAAGTGCTCGCGTTTTTTTTTTTGTTTGTTAAAAATAAATCCATGGATATAAGTTTCACTTTTTGTGGTCGTTTTCTGTGCGATTTTGCGCACGTTACCCAAAGCAAATAAAAGCCGTATTTTTCCCAATTTTCAACAAATTTCCTCTTGCCATATTAATGCCGACATACATATAGATATATATATATATATATATATACTCTCCGTTAGATAAACCCACACAAACACAGAGTCGTCAACACACGGACACAGAAACCCAACTAAAAATTTGTTAAACATTCATAACAGATCTCGAAACATTTTACATTTGTGGCGACACGCAACTACAAAATTTGCTAAATCATTTTGACAACTTTATGAGCGCTTGCGGCGCGAAAATGTCGAAGGAATGAATGTATATGCCTAGTTTTATATTGATGTGCAGTCCGTTTCGCAACTGTAAATCTGCAATTAATTAATTGGACTTTAATGGATGCAGTTTTTGTTTAGCTCAAAGTTTATATGGATAAAATGGATTTAACTAGAACTACATTCCTATCTAATCTAATTTCCGTTTAAAGATAATATCGCAAGCAGAAAAACAACCTCTAACTTTGATAAACTAAAACATGAGCTAATACTTTAGTTAACCAACTGAAAATGCGACTTCATACTGAAACAAATTGTGAATCATACTTGTATATAAATATAGTATTATATATATGCATACAGCAAGAGCAACCCATAGCGATTTCATTTATGACTCAAATTACCTCTGATAAGTGAGACCTTTGTTTGTGTGCAACTCTAATCAGTAGCTAAAGTCGGTTGAATTCTTATTGCTCTCGTCATAAAGAGAATTGCGTTATTATTTTTTGGGAGCTAAAAACAATTGGCTAAATAATTTGGAATTATTGATTCGTCGTAGCTAGATAATTTCCGCAATGTTCTTTTGTTTTTGCCGCATCCAAACAAATTGTAAATATTTTTGTTCGTTCAGAAATAACACGAATTCTGGTGCGCTCTTTTTATCTGTTTGCTTTTCGTTTCGAGTGGGCGGCACTAGACATGGTGGGCGTGGCCCGAGCTAAATGCGCAATTTCTATTTAAACAGCTGTGGATTTGTGTCAATGCTATGCTATGCGGTCTGGCCTGGTCTCTTTTTCGAGCTGCATTTGAGGGCTATTTAAAACAAAAAAGTAAATAAAACAAGCACGGATTATCATGGAATTGAGCTGTTTCGATTAATTTCAATTGGGATAAACTGAAGCACTTCGCCCAATTAGCACACACACACACTCAGTCATCCCTGTTAGCCACTACAAAACAATGTTGGCCACAAGTGCAAAGCAGAACGGTCATTTAATCGAGGTGAAAAATTGACTAGGCAAATTTGTTTAAAATTTATGCGAAAATCACACAGCATGCATAACGCAATTTGAAATGGAAATATTTATGGATTACATAACGAAAAACAAAGCCAGACAAATCCCAATCGTTTTGTTAGCCACTCTCAGGTTCTCCTCTCCCCCATCCTTCTATCAGTTCATAAATCCAGACCAGTCCCGAACCCGAGATGAGTTGAGCTGCCTGGCGGCGGTGCGACATCTCCTGGCTGGCTGCCTTTTTGCCTCTTCGAACACTTCAAGCCCAATTGAATTTGGAATGGCGCACTTAAGCCGCATCCTCCTCCGCAGGATTTTGCGTAAAAACTTTGCTCGTAATGAGCCACACAGGGAAAAAAGGATAATCAGTTGGGAAAGATGTTTTTCTTTAAATTTGACGAAAACTAAGTACTACGAACAAGACAATTTGTTTAAGTTTCCTCTTTTTTTATATTTTAATTAATATTTACATTGTTTTAAGGGCTTTTAATATATCCTAACAATATCTCATCAAGAGCCCTATTGCCATAGAAGAATGTCATAATGATAACAAGATTTCTATGACATATTTCTCCCTGTGCCGACGCTGAGATCGTTGGTTGCCAGGACACAAGCTCCGCAGCGAAACTAAAACCTCCAACGAACTCGAATGAACTCCGCCACTCTGCCCAACTGAGCACTGGCACTGGAGAGCTCTCCTACCTTGACAACGAATCATCATCATCATCTCAGTCATCGTCAGCATCCAATCATGTCAGCTTCCTGGTTCTTGAGCCACTGCCAAACAAATTGGTCTCTTCTTTAAATGCTGCCGCAACTCATCAAGATGCAACACATGACATGGGGCCAGGAATAAATCCATCTCTTTCCCCTTACCCATCAAATTGCTTTCATCAAACAACAAAAACTGGTGGTTCGGAGTTTCTGGGTTGGCATAAAAATAAGCTACTGAGCTGCTTAAATCGGATTAATTTATGATTTCTCGCTGCGAGTTTCGAACCCCCTCAACAGTACAGTATATAAAGTCCTTTTCCTGTTGCTTCCGTTGTTGAATGTCCTGTGTCCTGTGTCCTGTGTGTGTTATAAGCCTTATGCCCACGGATTTTCACCCACTCGCACGAGAAGCCACGTTTATATATTTCATTATCAAGTGCAGGGTGGTCCGCTTTTTGGAGCGCCACAAAAAGCGTCGAACAAAAGGCCAAAGTCAAATAAAAGCGAAAGCACAAATAATGGACCAAATAAGTAATACAAGAGCACAAATTCGGTTTACTACAAATTTCTGGCTTTCTGACCAAAGTGCTCGTTCCACATACCACATACCATATCATACCAAATAAAAAGACAAAACCATACAAAAAAAAAAGAAGCATCAGTGTCGGCTATTAGCCAACTTAAAGTCTAGACTACCCCGGGAAAACTGGAGAGGACAGTGTATAACAAGCTACTGACGGCATCCAAGGCAACCGACGTGGCCGCCAGTCCCACTCACACACACACACATGATCCTCCAAGCCCAGCATCCTTTTGCCCGCCGAACTCCGCGTTTCGCTCATGCAAATCCGTTTGGCTTGTTTTTTTCTCGATGCCCTTGCAAAGGGTATGCTAATTTTAGCAAATTATTTCTAATAGGTATTATATTTATAAAGAATATCTATGCCAAGGTGATCTTATCTTGATATTTCCAAAATAGATTCGCTATCTTCCAAGATAGCTATATCAAGGTTATTTCAAGAAATAAGTTTCTTGACCTTTAAGTATTTTAATAATGAAGGCTCTATCTTAAGGTCTATATTGGTATATATAGTAAAAATTTTATATTAAATCACAGATCAGTAAAACTTCCTATTTAACAAGAAAGTGCATTCAAAAACATCGCTTTTTAGTTGACCTTCCTCTCGAGATTTTTTCTGGTTTCGCCTCGTTTCGTTTCGGTTCAGTTTCTGTTGTGTTTTTGCTCGTTTTAAGCTTGTTTGTTTGCCTTCCCCGGTTGGCCATTAATTATTTGACTCCTGTCTGGGGGCAGCCTTTGTGCTGGTGGCCGTGTTTGTCTTTGTCTTTGCCTCAAACTGTGGAATTTTCATAATTCGGACCTGCCTCTCTATTTTGTGGTACATCAGTTCTAGTAGAAAAGGAGCCACTCCATTTTCGGGGTGTACAGGGTATGCCACTAGCTGTTGTCACCCTGCCTCCATGTCAATGTCTGTTTGTGATTTATGCGAGGCAAATTATAGAAGCAAATTTCCTTTTGCTTTGATTACTGGCTTTTGTGTAATTGAATCAGCCATCAGCCCAGAGACTCAGATTGAGACACCCTGCTGTGGTCTCCACTCTCGATTGTTGACTCTGGATTGCAATGTATGGAGGAGCCTGCTGATTGAACTTGCACTTTTCTCGACCACAATGTCAACAGATGCAAGTGGTGAAAGAGATGCAGCTCTTCAGGAATCTCCGGCTGCGGTTGCTCTCAATTCACTCGGACATTTTATTAATTGCAATGAATGCCTCAAGTGGCATAGCTATTGCAGTTGTTGTTGCACATTCGTAATAGAGACATGAAAATTGCATTTGTGCACTTGGCAGGAAACTAAGAATGGTTGTTGAAATTTGCTTTTGCGGTTTGTCGCACTCAAGAACCACAGAAGGGTGCTGATTATTGGGAACATAAGACCCACCTGATCCCCATAGGCTTTTGACTTGAGTCGCCGGCTAATTCCACACCAATTACCAGAGCAACGTTAATTGAATTAATAAAGAGCTCTGGCTCAGGCTACGGCTCCGGCGGTGCAAACAAACAGCAACTTCGGTCTCGATGTGCAATGCTGATTTCCTGTGATTCATCTCTGTCAGTCGCAAAAAGGCGTAATTGATAAAAGTTAAGCCAGCGAAACAAAAAGGATAACCAGACAGTGATTAAGTGCCTGGCTGCGTCAGCGGCGCATTTGATTGATTATCAATTTTACCGGGCACCGCTTTAACGGACCCATGACTACTGACTCCGCATTGGCCCATTGGACATCGAACATCGGACATCGGGCATCGGTGCATGCATGCCACTGCATCGCATTGCCAATTTAAGAGTGTTGAAATTTATTGAAAAGCCCTCATACCCATAAAACCAGGCTGCCATCCCCACCAGGTTTCCATTTCCACTTCCGCTCTAGGGAATCGAGTGGTGCTTCCGTTTTGTTTTACAATTGTCCAGGGGAAGGAGTGGTTTCGTGAGCTAAGCGAAAGCTTTTTAATTGTCTCTCGGAAATTGCTTATATGCAGAAAAAGAAGTAAAGACTTCAAATAATTTTCCAATAATTCCAATATATTAAGAAATAACTTTATAAAGAACATTGTCTTTGAACAACTTTACCAAACATATGCTCCTTAAACGCCCAGCACTTCCAAACCTCACTTATATTTAGCAACTCTGTAGAATCGT